TTTCCGAAGAGCGAGAGAAAGACTTAACTTTGTTTTATTTTATAGCAAAGCACTGCAAACAAATGGAATATTTTCATCTGAAACTGTATGAATATCATAGATACCCCACTGAATTAAATACCAAAAATTCTCACACTCTTTCGGATAACATGCATTGAAGGTAATGAATACCTTAAAAAGAACATCAACGGCTTTCAATACGGATGGCACTTCATCATGGTTTTATCAATTCGCACATACACTTTTTCGATCGCAGTTATTTCAGGTCCAACAACGATGATAAAGGGCTGCATTGTAAGATTCATCTGAGACATCTTATTTTGTTTGTTAATACAAGTGTTTGCTTAATGGCTCGCCTGCACTGGAAGTGCGGGTTGGAGTCCCTCAGCGAAAGGAGAATGGCCGGAGGCAAAGGATCTACGTAGCGGTCTCGGGCGCGAAATAACTTTTACGGTGTTTGAATTTTAGCGTATATTTCACTGTCACAAATCACTAATACAGCGGGGCTCATGCAAAGCTGCATGAGCCGTACAACTATATAATTGCTACGCGTACTCGCGCAAGGAGAACAGGGCCGCGAATAAGACTCGCCGGCGAAAGAGTGAGATCTGTTCAGGCGCACAGATCTACGGCTCTCGCAAGACCGACTGCGACTCATTACGCCGCGTATTTTGAGGGGTTTTTCTTTTCTCCATCCCTCTCTCCCGTCCCCGGCACCCCGCTCAGCTACTCGATCCGCCTAGCGCGGTGTCGGGCCCGGGAGATGGTCGCCCGTCGAGTGCTCGCGCCAGGGCCGTAAGCGCAGTCGCGAACAATATATGTATATAAATGTTTAAAAAACATCTAAATGAATTGTAATTGTCTTTGTAAAAGTGTCAATTTTTTTCTATGCGCATCTCTCCTCCTTTTATTTTTAAAATTTTTCTAAGTACGAAGAGTGACGTTACAAGGAAAAATCGATTACAATTTTACGACACCGATCAATGGAGAATGTCGAGAAACGCGTTTTGGACTTTAAAAAGGCCCTTTTCAGGGGCACACCCCGCCGATTTGTGGCCGCCACCTTAACATGGTGGCGGGGCTTACGCGCGTCTCCTCCAGGGGGGACGCGCAAACTAAGAGCGGCCACATGAAAAAAAAAATTAATTATAGGAACTAATCAATTTGTAATTTATTTTGTTTCAGATATGGCTTAGTGGCACGATAAAGGACACACGCGCCGTGTCGTCGACCACAACGCGAGAATCGCCGTACGCTCGGTCGTACTAATCACGAATTCCGCGAAAGCCGAAGGACCTCTCACATCCAACGTTATCGCGTTTCACAAAACTCGCGAAATTCCGAATGTTCGCAATAATTAGAACCGCGCTACGCAGTATCGCGTATTATAATGCGCGGTATCCACGAGACTGAAGACGTACTTGCGTAAGTTCGCGTAATTCGCGAAAAATGTCGAATCTGGTTTTAATAGAATTATCGCGGCGTCGCACAGTGGGCAAAAAGGCTTACTTTTTGGACAAAAATCTGCCGACAGTGCAATTCTCAACCGATTTCAATTTTTTTTTTAATTTACTCGTAATGAAATGCTCTATAAAGTGAGCTTGCGCCTTTTTTCAAACAAAGCTTAAATTGAAAATGGCGGACCAAAAATAATTGTCGAAAGTGCTGAAATGATATTGAATGTGACACCTCACCTACAATATTGAATATATTTACGTTAGATTAGATATACATGGGTTTTTTGACACGCTAAATGTAAATTTAGCAACTAAAAAATTTTAAACTCAAAATGACATTAAATATAAAAATAAAAAATATTGAAATTATACAGTATTCAATAGATTTACAGAAATGTTAGTAAATATTAGATTATTTTTAAATGTTTTTCACAGTTTGTAATATTATATTGTTAACTAGAGAATATT